CTCTGGGCCCGGCCATTCAGCCAGTTTTTTACCCAGCAAAGAGTAAACCCATCCAAGCCATGAGCAGCCAGTTTCTCCAGGAGAATGCTGTGGGAAATGATGTCAAAGGTTTTACTTAAGTCCAGGTAGACACATCCACAGCTTTTCTCTCATCCACTACGTGGGCCACCTTGTCACAGAAGGAGAACAGATCAGTCAAGCAGGACCTGCCTTTCATAAACCCATAGTGGTTGGGCATGATCCCCTGGCTGTCCTCTATGTGCCATGTGATAGTACTCATGATCTGCTCCATGACCTTCCCCAGGACTGAGGTCAGGCTTATAGACCTGTAGTTCTCTGGATCCTCCTGATGCCTAAAATGGAAGAAAAGAATCTCCAAACAGTGTTAGTATAGATAAGATAGAGAGCAGTTCTTTAATGAAGGCCTTCAGGTGCACACAGTACATAGACGCACACATGTGTCCAGGGGTTTTACAATTTTGTAGTACTAATCCATCCAATCCAAGAACTATCTGCCCCCAGATCCTCCCCAGATCTGCCCCCCTGTCACTCCTCCCTGGAACTGATTTGGAGGTCTTGAGACCCCTTTCTTCCTCATCTTCCTATCTGGAAGATATTCCTTCCTCATCTTCTATCTGGACTTCAGCAAAGCCTTTGACACTGTCTCCCATAATATACTCCTGAAAAAGCTGGCAGCCCACAACTTGGACAGGGGCACTCTATGCTGGGTTAAGAACTGGCTGGAGGGCCGGGCCCAGAGAGTGGTGGTGAACGGGGCTGCATCCAGTTGGCGGCTAATGATGGCAGGACCACAAATACATCACGAACAGCCAATATGATTAAGCAATGTATCCTTTATTAAACACACAGTACACATTTTATACATCTTTGTACCCTCGTGGGTGCAGGATTAAAGTCTGGGGATTGAATAGCTCAGCCTGTCCACGAGTTCGTGTCATGCTCATTGGATAAGGTGTAGGGTCGATATTTTGCACCTGGATTGCAGCTCCCACCGTAACTTCTCATAGCATGAAATAGCTGTTGATTATAAACTAATTCCATTCTCATGGGAAGCTAGCCTAAGTCCACAGCTGCCAACTATAAACCAAGTTTTCTTCCCACGGGAAGCCTGAGGCTTCTTTCACAGCTGGTAATATGGGTTGTTCACCAAGTGTCCATTTTCCTGCAAATATTCCACAGGCGGCTGGTCACTAGTGGTGTCCTCTAGGGATCAGTGCTGGGCCCAGTCCTGTTTAACATCTTTATCTATGATTTAGATGAGGGGATTGAGTCCATCATTAGCAAATTTGCAGACAACACCAAGTTGGGAGGGAGTGTCGACCCGCTGGAAGGCAGGAGGGCTCTGCAGAGAGACCTGGATAGGCTGGAGAGATGGGCCGATTCCAATGGGATGAAGTTCAACAAGGCCAAGTACTGGGTCCTGCACTTTGGCCACAACAACCCCCTGCAGCGCTACAGGCTGGGCACAGAGTGGCTGGAGAGCAGCCAAGTGGAAAGGGACCTGGGAGATTGGATTGACAGGAAACTGAACATGAGTCAGCAGTGTGCCCAGGTGGCCAAGAAGGCCAATGGCATCCTGGCCTGCATCAAGAACAGTGTGGCCAGCAAGAGCAGGGAAGTGATCCTTCCCCTGTACTCAGCGCTGGTGAGGTCACACCTTGAGTACTGTGTTCAGTTCTGGGCCCCTCAGTTCAGGAAGGATATTGAGGTGCTGGAGCAGGTCCAGAAAAGAGCAACCAGGCTGGTGAAGGGACTTGAGCACAAGTCCTATGAAGAGAAGTTGAGGGAACTAGGGTTGTTTAGTCTGGAGAAGAGGAGGCTCAGGGGTGACCTCATCACTCTCTACAACTACCTGAAAGGAGGTTGTAGCCAGGTGGGGGTTGGTCTCTTCTCCCAGGCAATCAGCAGTAGGACAAGAGGGCACAGGCTTAAGCTCTGTCAGGGGAGGTTTAGGTTGGATATTAGAAAGAAGTTCTTTACAGAGAGGGTAATCAGGCATTGGAATGACCTGCCCAGAGAGGCGGTGGATTCACCATCCCTGGAGGTTTTTAAGACGAGGCTGGATGTGGCACTGAGTGTCATGATCTAGTAATCACAGTGGGGTTGGATCAAGGGTTGGACTTGATGATCTTGGAGGTGTCTTCCAACCCAGTTAATTCTATGATTCTATGATTCCTCCTCACAGCACACATTTATCTTTGGAGCTCCTCAAAGGTTCCTGGGCTTTCAAGGTTGCTTTGGCTATAATGGCATCTTATTATTCTGGTCCAGGTGCATATGTCCTAAACAAAATGTGCTTGCTAGAGTCTTTTCTTTTGAGAAGAACATTAAACAAACCTGAAGAATTTAGAAAATTTTATACGAAGCATGAGAACTGGGTTTGGTAACTGTCAACTGCAATTTAAAGTGTGAGAAACTTTACAACCATACTAAAAATCTATATTTGCTACAAATCTTAAAATTTATAAGGCATCACGCCTTCCAACCTTTCTTGTAGGTGGGTGCCATATTTGCCAAGTTCCAGTCACCTGAGATCTCCCTGGTTGAGCAGGACTACTGGTAAAGTGATTAAAAGTGGTTTGGTGAGCTCTTCTACCAGCTCCATCAGTACTCTTGGGTGGATCCCATCTGGCACCATGGACTTGTGTGGGTCTAAGTGGCATAGCAGGTCTCTAACCATTTCATCCTGGATTATGGGGACTTCATTCTGCTCCCCATTTCTGTTTTCCAGCTCAAGGGGCTGGTTACCTTGATGACGTCTTGTTGTTAAAGACTGAGGCAAAGAAGGCATTAAGTACCTCAGATTTTTCCTCATCACTATATTTTTTGTCACTATCTTTGACCCCACATCCAACAAAGGATGGAGATTCTCCTTGGCTCTCCTTTTGTTGCTGATGCATTTGAAAAAACATTCTTTGTTGTCTTTTATGGCAGTGGCCAGATAAGTTCTAGTTGAGTTTGGCCCTTCTAATTTTCTCCCTACATAAGCTCACAACATCCTTGTAGTCTTCCTGAGTTGCTTGACCCTTCTTCCAAAAGGTGAAACACTCTTTTATTCCCTGAGTTCCAGACAAAGCTCTCTATTCAGCCAGGCTGATCTTCCCCTCTGGCTAGTCTTTTGGCACATGGGGACAGCCTCCTCCTGTGCCTTTAAGATTTCCTTCTTAAAGCACGTTCAGCCTTCCTGGACTCTTTTGCCCTTCAGGACTGCCTCCCAAGGGACTCTCTCAAGCAGTTTCCTAAACAGACCAGTCTGCCCTCTGAAAGTCTAAGGTAGCACTTTTGCTGACCTCCCTCCTTACTTCTCTGAGAATTGTAAACTCTATCATTTTGTGATCACTATGCCCAAGATGGCCTCCGACCATCACATCACCCATCAGTCCTTCTCTGTTCACAAACAGCAGGTCCAGTAGGGCATCTCCCCTGGTAGACTCACTCACCAGCTGTGTCATGAAGTTGTCTTCTACACACTCCAGGAACCTCCTATATTTCTTCCTCTCTGCTATGTTCCATTTCCAGCAGACATCTGGTAAGTTGAAGTCATCCTCGAGAACAAGGGCCAGAGATCGTGAGACTTCTCCCAGCTGCTTATAGAATATTTCATCTGCCTCTTCATCCTGGTTGGGTGGTCTATAACAGACTCCCACCAGGATATCTTCTCTGTTGTCCTTCCCCCTGATTCTTACCCATAAACATTCAGTACTATCACCATCATTAATCTTTAGACAATCGAGACAGTCCTTAACACACAGGGCTACCCCACCACCTCTCCTTTTTTGCCTATCCCTTCTGAGGAGTTTATAGCCATCCATTGCAGCACTGCTGTTGTGAGACTTGTCCCACCATGTATCTCTGCTGACAACTATGGCATAGTTTTCCTGCTGCACCATGGCTTCCAGTTCCTCCTGTTTGTTGCCCATGCTGAATGCATTGGTGTAAACATACTTCAGTTGTGATAGCAACCTTTTCAGGGGGAGAAGCTCCAGTTCCTGAGTGAGCCTTCTCAGGTCCTTCAGCAGTTTCTAGCACATCAATTCTCGCATCCTTGCTGTTGAATGGATCCTCATCCCCTACCTCTACCAAGACAACAGATTGAAGGACCTAGCTAGCACAGTGTCTCTCAAACAGTGGTGTGCCGCCCCCAGGCATATCTCCCATGATCCTGATTTTATCCCCTTCCCTGTTTAAATATAGTTCAAAGCTCTCTCAATGAGACCTTTTAACTCCTGTGCAAGGATCCTTTTGGAGAGAACTTCATTTGTGCTGCCTGACAGGTTTTTTTGTCACTTTTTTGTCTTTTAGGAACTAAGATACAAAAGTAAAAAAAAAAAGACTGTCACTAGCAGTGTTCAATTTAATGTTTTTGCTTTGATTGTGTAGCCTCTGGAGTAAGAATCGTTTTTTTAGCATCATTCATATCCTAAGGGGACTATGCTTTCACGGTGGCCTCAAAGATGTACCACAGTAATTCGGCCATCCACGTTTTGAGGACAAGAGGGAAGAACAGTTGAAAAAATTAGCAGTTTCATCTGTTCATGGTACAATTCAATTTAATAACATGTTGCTGAGTCATCTTTTCACATATGCTTGTGCATGTGTGACAAGAATATAGACTTTAATATCTGACCCTTACAACAGTAAGAATCCCTTAAAAAAAATGTCTTTTGCTGTTTGGTGTTTAAAGAAATACAGTGCAGCATTTTTGTAATCATACAAATGAAGCAATGTTATTAAAATATCTTGTTGCTTACACACACTGTATTCTCAAGAAGAATTCCTTGTGAATTAGTTCTATGTGGAAAACCCCCCACATTTTTGAGGAACTGAAGCACCCAATCATCAGTCCATATATGTGACAGAGAAATTCTATCTGAGGTCATTGCATCATGTGACCTATGTGGTGAACTGTGAACCTAGTATTAAAGTGAATATGTCTTGGTTGGGATAAGAAAATCTTTTTTTCTTTCTTAATTTTGCAGAATCATGCAGACATTTGTTACACAACAGTGGAAGAACAGCAAAGAGAAATCTAATTGTACACACAATAAGGAGTCTGACAAAAAGGTGAAATCCCCTCTGCACATCTTTTCTACATTGCGCAGGTAATAGCAAGGAAAATGAGCTGTTACCAACATACCCTGTTAAAAATCCACAACAAACTTTGCAAGGTAAAGTGTTGACTTTTCTCCACAGAGGAGTGCTCTGTTTCAATCATACGTCATAGATTTCCAGTCCTTGCCTTGCATGGCATCAAAAGTGAATTAGGTACAATTGCAACTTCTGAGACTATTTGAAGGCAGAGTATTTCAGTGCCCTACTCTCTCAAACAGCCATGATTAACCTAGAATTGGAAATAATTCATTTTTTATTACTTAATTTCTTTGTATTTTTATCTTTACTAGATAGGTAGCATTTGACTGTTACTTGAATAGTAAAAATATATAAATAAATATATATACACATAATATATGTATAAATATTTATATATAAATATTTTTGTGTTTGTCTAGCTGTTTTTTCAACAGCTGTGTATATTTTTTAATGTTTCTAAAGTAGAATGGTCATTATGAAAGACTGATCTTTAGAGCTGCTGAGCACCCACCCCTCTCCACTGAATCACAGAATGGGCCAGGTTGGAAGGGACCACAGTGGGTGTGGTGGTTTTGACCCTGGCCAGATTTCAAATACCCACCAAAAACCACTACATGACACCCCCCATCCCCCCTCCCCCTTCCCCCCTCCCTCCTGCAACTCCAGAGAGAAAACAAAACCAGCTACAGAATTCCTGAGCAGAGATAAGAACTAGGAGACTCATTTACTGACAGGCAAAACAGACTCAAAACGGGGGTAAAACTTCAATTTATTACTAACAAGATAAAAGCCAAAAAGCAAGAAATAAAACAGTCTTAGAAACACCTTCCCCCCTCACTCCTCCTTACTTCCGTGCTCTCCCTCCTCCCCCTTCAGCAGTGCAGAGGGACAGGGAAGGGTGGGGGTCAGTTGTTGTTTGAGTCCATCCCTCGGGCAACAGCTCTTCTCATTCTGCTGTCCCGTGGGTCACTCCTCCATAATCTACGGGGGACACCTGCGTCACTATGGTCTTCACCATAGGCTACAGGGGGACCACAGCTCTAAGTCCTTCCCCTGTTCCCATGGAGGTCCCTCCCACGGGAGACAGTCCTTCATGGACCTCTCCAATGTGAGTCCACCCACCCCTCGGGCAGCAGTTCTTCCAAATCTGCTGTCCCATGAGTCACTTCTCCATGGGGATGCAGTCCTTCACAGATAAGCTGCATCGACGTGGGTCCCCCACAGGGCCATGAGTCCTACCCAGGAAAAACTTGCTCCAGCATGGGCTTCTTTCTCCATGGGCCACAGGTCTCCAGCAGGTACCCCACTCCATCCCAGCCTCCTTTATGCATCCACCTGCTCCAGCATGGGCTGCATGGGGGGTCTCTGCACCCCAATGGTCTTCCACAGGTTGCAGGGTCCTCAGCTCTGAGTGTCTCCCCTGCTCCTGGGGGAGGGGGAAAGCCCCCCTTTCCCCCACCCCAACCCCCGCCCCCTGCTGGACTGACCTTGGTGCCTGCCTGTTCTCACTCCTCTCTTCCCAGGCTGGAATATTGGAATTTCTTCTGCATCACAACTCCTCTCTTCCTCTTTTCTTAAATATGTTATTGATGCCCAAAAAGGCAGATAAAAGAAAACTGCTTAGAGGCAGGATTTTATGCCTTAAGACAGCAGGTATTTATTGTGCAGCCGGGCAGCCTGCCAGCTATTGCTGGGAAAACAGACTCCGAGCTGGTCAGGTCAGAATGAGTATTTTATACAGGTTTGGCAATGATTACAACATAATCACATACATATTCATATTATTGCATCATTAGATTTCAATATTCATAACAGGTGGAGTCAGGGCGGAGTTTGAGGCATGGTCTCTATTTTGAGGAATATTATGGTGGTACATTTGGTCTTACTTCATCTTAGGGTCTCGAATCTACTCCTCATTGTCGGGTGACCTTGGTGACCTTCTGTACTTTCCATTGTTCTATGTTCTGATCATGCAGGCTTGAAGAAAACCTTGGCTTCAGGCCTATTTCACCCGTTCAAATGTCTACCTTAGCCTATTTGACTATAATTTATTACCTCTGGGCTCTTTGTGTAATGTATCTGTGGGTATTTTAGGTCTGCAGAATTTGTACAGAACAAAATCTCTTTTGAGCAAGGTAGAGAAAGTGGGGGGAAAGAACAGTGGGTTTTTTGCAATATGATACTTCAATTAACCCTTCTTCCTTCATTATCACAAAAGCCCGCTCATTGGCTCAGCCTTGGCCAGCAGCAGGAAGTCACTCCTGGAGCTGGTTATCATTGGCTTTTCATAGGATAGTGGAAGCTTCTAGCAGCTTCTAACAGAAGCCACCTCTCTATAGCCCCCCCGGCTATCAAAACTCAGCCTCATAAATCCCTGACAGTGGATCATCTGGTCCGACCTCCCTGCTCAATCAGGGTCATCCCAGAGCACATGGCACAGGATTGTGTCCAGACAGTTCTGGAATATCTCCAGTGAGGGAGACTCCACACCCTCTCTGGGCAATCATAGAATCATAGAATCAACTGGGTTGGAAGACACCTCCAAGATCATCAAGTCCAACCCTTGATCCAAACCCCACTTTGATTACTAGATCATGGCACTCAGTGCCACATCCAGCCTCATCTTAAAAACCTCCAGGGATGGTGAATCCACCACCTCTCTGGGCAGGTCATTCCAATGCCTGATCACCCTCTCTGTAAAGAACTTCTTTCTAATATCCAACCTAAACCTCCCCTGACAGAGCTTAAGCCCGTGACCTCTTGTCCTACTGCTGATTGTTATAGGTTACCAGCGATGCCTGAAATAAATTAAAGAGGCCAATTTACAATAATAAGTAAATTTATTAGCAAACAGTAGTTAAGCAATGCCAGTGCACCGGGGCGACCATGGAAAAAAAAAGGTTCCCAAGTAACTCGCTCCCCCCAAACCCCAGAGTCCCCTTTTTGTATATCCCGGTTCTGTGCCTATGTAGTCCTGGGTGGCATCTTTTGCGCATGTGTTGCGTCTGGTTTCCACATATGTAGTCTTGGGTTGCGTCTTTCCAGCATGTGTAGTCCGGTGAGTCGGGGATCTCACTTTTGTGTCGGTGGTCTCTGCCAGGAAGGCTTCGGGTCTTCCTCGTGTTCGCGAGATGACCCCATGTTTTGTGCATGCTTAGTTAAAGGTATTTTCCTCCTTCCTGTCTTATCAGCACACGTTTATCACAATTGACTCTTTGTTAGTTCTGAACTAATGAGATAAGGTTTATCGCTAAGTTATGCCAGATATACCACTAAAGTGTAACTAATTTATCACAGTCCTCGTGCCCCCGGGGGGCTATCAGGCGTCTTCTAGGATTATCTCCGACAACCAACCGGTGGAAACCTGTTGGCGGGGAGGCTCCGGAGACATACATACATGACCTATGAGATCTAAAATATGTCCGATTTATTAGGATAGCTCAGGGTTTTTATAGCATCTGTATACAAGGTCTCGTGACAAGAAGGACATAATTGGTTACAGATCACTGGCCAGATGTAAACATGTATTACAAATACCATTATAATTGGTTATTAACAGGTAACAAGGCCATTATTTACTTTATGGAACTCCATCTTCTTCTTGGCACCAATTTCCTTTTGTTCTTGCAAAGACACCCGCGGTCATCTTGACACCTATAACTTATAGTACTTATAAAACTATATGAAAGTTTATAAAAGTCTATAAAAGTACCTCACACAATATAAATTGCTCACACATTCATCATATTTCTCCCACAAATCCCCTTTTTTGTTTTTGAGCAATTTATACTACACTATAATACATTCTTATCTTACCACTAACATATTATAACACACAAGTACATATACCCATCACCATTAAAAATAACACCTTCACACACTTATCGTTTATTTTTATCTTATAATGCCAAAACTTAACCCATACTAAAATTTAATTGGTTCACACAAAACACTCTCTTAAATTCTTAACTTCTATGATTTTATGATATTACACTATAAACTACCTTATAATAATACTGAAAAAACTCTGTAATTCTGAATAGCTTATCTACCACAATATCAACCTTGTTCTGCAGAATCACTCCCTTTCCAAGGTCTTATCCAACGTGTAGGCAGCCACTGAACTCCTGTATCTGTGAGGACACAAACATATCCTCTACCAGTTAGTTTTACCTCTGCAGGCTCCTTCCAGACCCCAGTTTGTGGGTCCTTGTACTGAACTTTCACTGTTACCTGTGGATTTACCAAACCTGACTTCATAGAAGCGTTATGAATTACAATAGGAGGGTCCGATCTTCCACCCGTCAACCGTAAAAAATTCAAAACATATAACACTTTTGCAAGTCAGTTATGTGGGCTATCCAGTTCTTCTCCCCCTTTCTGTTTTTGCAAAAGTGATTTCAGGACTCCATGAGCCCGCTCGATGATGGCTTGTTCTGTAGGAGAATGAGCTATTCCGGTAACATGAGAAATACCCCAATTCATGCAAAATCTGCGAAAACACTGTGAGGTATAACCGGACCCGTTATCGGTCTTAATTTCCGTGGGGACTCCTAGGGCCGCTATACATGCATGCATATGACGAATGACATATCTGGCACCTTCTCCAGCATGAGCAGAGGCCCATATAGCATGAGAAAAAGTGTCAATGCACACATGCACATACTTCAATCTTCCAAACTCATTAACATGAGTGACATCCATCTGCCAAAGCTGCAATGCTTGTAAACCACAAGGACTGACCCCCAAGCCAATGTCCAGCCCATTTCTGTGGCAGACTGAACAAACTTGTACAATACCATGTGCATCTGATAGAGTTAACCCAAATTGTCTGGTTAGTACGTCTGTAGACTGATGGAAAAATTCGTGGGACAAGACTGCTTGTTGAAATTTGTTCACTGCAGGACCGACCCATGCAGGTGCTACTAACTTGTCTGCCCTGTCATTACCAAGTGTTAAACCACCATGCAGTTTCTGGTGACTCCTGATATGAGTGATAAAGTAGGGATGT